AAAAAAAAAAAAAAAAAAAAAAAAAAAACCTATATAGGAAGACTATAACGCAAAAGAAAAAAGAATATCATGAAATAAATTATTTTTTATTGTTTCTCTTACCCAAGTTTATTTGGCTTTTTTAGACTTAAGACTTTTTTGTTTTGTTTTTAAGGTATTTTATTTTCAAACTTTTTCTGTTATTCTTAAAACCTTTCTATGATTTCATTAACTTATGGTACTAAGTTACAAGAGGGCTGGAAATTTTCAGTAGCAAAGGAAAACCAGAGCAGAGTATTCTTGAGCTTGAGGCCAGCCTGTGCTACATAGTGAAATCCTATCTTTAAAAACAAAAAAAGAGTTTTTTCGCAACGGGTTTGCCACGAGAGCACAGGCGTAGTGAAAGCCACCACTAAATCGAAGCCAACATGGGAAAGGAAAAGACTCACATTAATATCGTTGTCATCGGACACGTGGACTCCGGCAAGTCCACCACCACTGGCCATCTGATCTACAGATGTGGTGGCATCGACAAAAGAACCATTAAAAAATTTGAGAAGGAGGCTGCTGAGATGGAAAAGTACACTTGGGTGTTGGACAAGCTGAAAGCCGAGCGTGAGCATGGTATTTTGACTTCTCCCTGTGGAAATTTGAGACCACCAAGTATTATGTGACCATCACCGATGCCCCTGGACATAGAGACTTCATCAAAAACATGATTACAGGCAGATCTCAGGCTGACTGTGCTGTCCTGATTGTTGCTGCTGGCGTTGGTGAATTCGAAGCTGGTATCTCCAAGAACAGGCAGACCCGTGAGCATGCCCTTCTGGCTTACACACTGGGTGTGAAACAACTAATTGTTGGAGGTAACAAAATGGATTCCACGGAGCCACCCTACAGCCAGAAGAGATGAGAGGAAAATGTTAAGGAAGTCAGCACCTACATTAAGAAAATCGGCTACAACCCTGACACCAAAGCTTTTGTGCCAATTTCTGGTTGGAATGGTGACAACATGCTGGAGCCAAGTGCTAACCTGCCTGGTTCAAAGGATGGAAGATCACTCGCAAGGATGGCAATGCCAGCGGAACCACACTGCTTGAAGCTTTGGATTGCATCCTCCCACTCACTTGCCCCACTGACAAGCCTTTGAGGCTGCCCCTCCAGGATGTCTACAAAATCGGTGGTATTAGCACTGTCCCTGTGGGCTGAGTAGAGACTGATGTTCTCAAACCTGGCATAGTGGTCACCTTTCCTCCAGTCAATGTCACAACTGAAGTCAAGTCTGTTGAAATGCACCATGAAGCTTTGAGTGAAGCTCTTCCTGGGGACAATGTGGGCTTCAACATCAAGAACGTGTCCGTCAAAGATGTCTGGTGTGGCAGTGTGGCTTGTGACAGCAAAAACGACCCACCAATGGAAGCAGCTGGTTTCACTGCTCAGGTGATTATCCTGAACCATCCCGGCCAGATCAGTTCTGGCTATGCCCCTGTCCTGGATTGTCACACAGCTCACATTGCTTGCAAGTTTGCTGAGCTGAAAGAAAAGATTGATCACTGGTCTGATAAGAAGTCAGAAGATGGCCCAAGTTTTTGAAATCTGGTGATGCTGCCATTGTTGACATGGTTCCAGGCAAGCCCATGTGTGTGGAGAGCTTCTCTGATTACCCACCTCTGGGTCGTTTCGCTGTTTGCTATATGAGACAGACAGTTGCTGTGGGTGTCATCAAAGCTGTGGACAAAAAGGCTGCTAGAGCCGACAAGGTCACCAAGTCTGCCCAGAAAGCTCAGAAGGCTAAATGAATATTATCCCTGACACCTGCTACCCCAGTCTTAATCAGTGGGGGAAGACCGATCTCCGAACTGTTT